AAGAAAAAAAAATTAAATACAGACAAACAGAAATAAGGGTTCAAAAACTAGGAAAATGGCCAACTTAATCATAGGGCGAAGTCTGGAGTTAAATACTATACCCCAGAATTCAATCGGGAAGATCAAACCACAACAGAAGGTAGATTAAGTACATGAGATTGAACTGGTGAAATAGCATTGTATTACTTTTTGACTAAAACATTGCTGATTTTCTTCTAGGCTTTGATGTCCAGTTTTAAGGATTTTTGTCTTGTCTTGAGCTGTTGATAGGTTCCTGACCTACTATTGGGGCAGAATCCTAACCTGTTTCCTGGCTTTAAGTTTTAAGCAAAGTTTCTTAGGATTTCTTTGATTTATTAATGTTAAAACTGCTTTTCTTGAAATTAATAGCTGAATTTGCTATTATAGAATGTAGTTGGATTTAAGAAATTGTATGATCAATAAAATATAGGGGAAAGAAATGGAAGACAATGTAGATACCAGAGATAGTGTGAGAAGAGGGTGGGAAAGGGCAGAGGGTCAGAAATAGGTCAATAGCGGACCCTTCTGGATCACCACGCATCCCCACCGTTCTTCCTCCTTGGACCCAAGGTTGGTTGCCTGGGACTTTAAGGTGAACCCCCACCCCACCCCACCCAAAATCCGGATTGAGCTGGCCAGCAGTTCCAGACACCAGGCGGACTGAGGCTGCAGACCCAATCAACCTGGTACTGTCATTCATTGTCTGATCCCTTTCCACTAGCCTTTGGAATGTTTGAATTTTGGTGATTTGAGTAACTTTTGATTTACTTTTTCCATTTTGTTTTTCTTTGCTCTTGGGGTGTTGCTTATTTGGTCAGTTGAAGGCTCACCACTCCTTAGAAACAGCAAGGACTTTGGACCATCCAGGGCTAGTGGCAACAGTTAATGGTAATTGTGAGTAACAGGTAGGCCAACCATAAGATAAATCATCAATTTTCTAAGCCTGTACAACTTTTAAGAATCAGAGATACCTTAAATAAGTTAGGAGGAAACATATAGATTACCTGATGGCTAGGAACAATTGCAGAGTCTCAAGAAATATGAACAACCAACAAAAGGCCTCTCCATCAAGGGAAATCATCAAGCCTACATCACCCACCGTCAATACAATGGACGTCGTGGACATGTCTGATAAGGAATTTAGAATATTTGTAGTGACCAAACTAACTGAGATGGAAGAGAAAAGAGACAAGGAGCTCCAGGAGATGAGGAAGTCCTTTAATGACTTGAAAGAAGAAATGGATACCCTAAACAAGAACCAGATGGAACTTCTAGGTTTGAAGAATGTGATACAGGAAATCAAAACCTCCCTTGAAAGCATTAAAAGTAGGTTAGACCAGGCAGAAGACCGAATCTCTAACGTAGAAGACAAAACATCTGACCTAGATAAAAGTATCAAGAAGATTGAGAAAACAACCATGAAAAATGAGGATAATATACGAGGAATACTG